AACTGTTTGCAAGTAATTCTCCAGTTATTTGCTGATGATTTTGTGTTATGCATATTTTTGTACTTACGGGTTCGTTACCTTTACGAGTGGAATTAATAATATTCCACATGACTTTTTGTATGATTGTCTTGCGGCTTTTAGTTCATTTTTGTATGTTTCATTTAACTCACTGTCCACTTTCTTAAAATGTTTGAGTTTCCGCGATAGTTCGCGATAAAGATTGACTGAATTTTTTTAGAGAAATTAGGTTTGGTGTAAGCCATTGCTGTTTTCTATTCTCTTTGCGGCGTTAATGAATTGTTTGTACTTCTGTTTACTGTTTTGCTGAGTATTATTTCTTGGTGCATATGATCCGAAAGGCCATTTTCCACTGTTTTAACTGTGTTATGTTTCATATTGCTCGATATCATAAAATTGTCAATATATGTACCAGTTTTTGATCCGATTCTGGTTGGCTCAAAAATAGTTTGTTCAAGCCCATATGCAATATATCTTTGAAATTTTGACAGTGATATTTATTATGCATAAGGTCAATGTTAAAATCTCCTCCTAACAAAATGTTTCTCTCCGGTCTAAGTAATTTATTTAGAAGTTCATTTAGAATTATAAAGAATGCATCTAGATCAGCCCCACTTGGTCTGTAACAGACAACAATGACAAGATTTGAGATTTCAATCGCGCTGCATTCAAAAACGAAAGTTATCTGTCTGTCAACAATTAAATATCCATAGGGAAGGTTTTGAGGAATTGAGTCGTTTATTTCCTTTATGGTTCATCACCCCCATTTAGAGCATGGATCAACCACAACCACGAGTTTTTTCGGATCCTTTTTATGCCCAGGAGGCATTTTTAGATATGAAACATTAATTTATACGCTCGGACTGTGTCTATACCCTGACAATTAAAATCTTTGTGTCTCCACTTGGATTTCCAGATCGTTTCCCTTTAGAATTCGCCGAGTGTTGCCCCGAGCAAAATACTAATACACTTCAGAACAGAACGGAACAGAATTTCATTAATACAAAAAATTGGCAAATAAAATTCACTTAATATTAAATCATAATTGTTTAGAGCGAGGCATGTTGCGCACCCCCCACAAATGGGGCTTTTTGGATATGATCAAGAGCAAGCTTCAAAGAACATGTTGGTCAAATTTGAAAACTATAAGTTTTTTTATTTAACCTACATTGACGAGGCGATAAACCAGAATTCACAACTCGAAATAAATTGACAGATCCGCTGACAAGTGTATTGGCGTTCGTTCACGATGAACCCGGCAACTTTTACAATCGCTCTTTATACCGATAAAAGCAGTCATGAGGACACAACTTGATGTGCTTCTAGTACCTAATAGAAAAATATACATATGTATGTACAGTATCTAAAGCGATGGGGTATACAAGAGGGAATTTTTTTTTAAAATATTGATTTATGAAAAAAATTTATTCTTCATGATATTTTTTGCTTGCTTTGAAAGTA